CTTTTCACAATTATCAACACTCAATAAAATCCACAGACAGCTCAGACCCAGACTTGCTGAGTCATTGTGATAATACAGGTGTGGCTTACCGGTAATTTGAAAAATATTAATAGCCAAAAATTAAATGGTGTGGAAGCCATTTTAACATTCTGGCTTTCTTTTTACTGATAACATTTTTGAAAAAAAAAAAATTTTGATTTTTGTCGGTGGAATATTGAGACTTGTATTCAAGATTTTATTCAACAAACTCGCACTTTCAAAAATGCTGTAATACCAGTGGAAATTACACCACTCACTGTTTAATTTTAGAAATGTTTTGTATATGAGCTTGAAAGAAATCCAAAATACCGGTAGTTAAACTTGTTGCTCTAAAAGATGGGTACACCCAGTGATGCCATTTTTCTGTTCAATCTAAAAGCGATTCTGATCTGCAGAACACCTTTCTCTGTAAATACTACATCACTCCATTTCTAAATACACTTGCATACAATGAGGTTTTTTTTCTGGCGTTAAAAGTGGATGACAATATTTTAAAAGCATCAGTTTTATGCTGAAATAAAATTATTGTGACAAGAATATTTAGTGTTGCAAGCACTGCATTTTTATATTATTATGAAAGTCACTGTGAATCCTAAGCCAACTGCACTCCAGTGTGATTTCCACAATTCTTGAGGTCACATTATTACCAGTAGTTGCAAAAACTTTACTCAAAAATTTCATAAAGATTTCTTTAAATAATTAAATTTTTCTTTTAATTTCACAATAATAATAATTTCAAAAATTGCAATTCTAAGAGCCTAGTAAATAGCAAATAGGTTACAAAATCTTTATTTTTATTGAAATTAAATAATATTTTTTTTTTTTAATTTACAAATGTTTTTTTTTCAATAAAATACAGTTGAACTATTTGTGCTATAAATGAATTCAATCATTATCTAAATATTTATCATAAAATTAAATGCTTGCACATTATAAAGTACAAGTATGTATTTATAGGTACAAATAGTATAATTTGTGAAATAATTGATCAACACTTCCACATTCAGAATAGTATTCATAATGAAGACAAAGTAAACAATCTTTTTGTACTTGAGGGTGAGCACTGTATAACAATCAGAATGTGTCCATGCTTAGGCACTAAGTTGAAAAACCCACAAACAATCCACAAGCTATCATGGCATGTACCTGTCACCAGGCGTTGACAATTTCGAAGAACATCCGGGTCTTTGTAAACTAGATCTAATCTGACCTTGGGTTCAGATACCAAGCGTGCAATGACCATTGCATAAATTTTACAGTTATACGTGAATAAGAATAGCAACCATGAAGCATCGAACAAGATGGCCCGTTATTAATTTAGCAGACCCAGGAGTAAAACTGTTTTCAGCATGTCCTTGTTATATTACGTCTATAGGATGTGAGGTATTCGTTGTTTTGTATCACTTCAGTATATTATTGACCGCCGGCTGGTATGATAAGGTTCTGTCGTGGAAACCGACAATATCACCAAGAAGCACATGCATAATACAATTGGTGAAAGCTGCCTAACACATAAATAAACCGTTTTCATTCAACAATACCCACTTGAAGACGTGACAGTTGTGGTTGTTTTCTCATTTGTATTAATTTGGCTTGCAGTGAGCTATCACTTTCCACTGACAGCAGAACGAGCGATAACCGGCTCCGTCAAGTTACCAACGGGCTTGTTACCTCGTTTACATAAACAAAGTAATACACCCGTTGGCAACGAAGCCGACTGACACTCGTGTCATTCAATAGAAATAGAAAATGCCTCAGAGCTGACGATTGTCGAAAGATTCCGCACACGAAAGTGAAAGGGCATGCCCGTGCCATTGACGAGTTGACGCAAAATAATAAAAGCAAATAAATGTTTGGCGGTTCACTTACAGAATTCGGCGATGTAACTAGTGACGACGTAATTTTCCTCACACCAATCCAGGGTTGATGTTGGAACACCCCAGAACCCAACTGAAGTTGGCGCCATCTTGAAGAACACTGAAGTATTTAATTTATTTACATCAGTGTTTTATTTAGTCGTGTGAGGGCGCCCCTTTATTGGGCGGAGCAGCTCCGAGCATTTAGCGAAAATATTCGTACAACGACACTACAAACAATCATTAGTTGGGGCGGGGAAATTCAAATCAACCATTTTCAAATTAGCCAGAAATCGCTGAAATAGCTGTTGTTAATTGGTCAAATGTTGTGCTATATCGGCATTGGATCAGTCGTGAGTCTGATTGACAGTAGTCAATGACGTAAAATTGCCGATGATTTGCATTTCATTTGAATTAAATCAATGATTTTCAGTCGCTCCAATGATAACATTATGGTCTCGAAAAATCAAAAGCTTTTAAAATAGGTCATCATAGGTGGACCTCATGTTGGCCTGATTCGGAAATGTCTTTCCAGGAAACGTTGAGCAAAACCACACGGTGTCCCGTAATTGATGGTTATTAAC